GAAGAAGAAGAAGAAGAAGAAGAACAACAACAACAACAACAACAACAACAACAACAACAACAACAACAACGGCAACAACAACAACAACGAATTATGAGGACACTTTTTAATTGGCTCTAAGAGAGGAATGAACTATCTTGGATTGGTATTGACGAATCCCCAACGACAGGACTGTCTTCGATGGGCGAGACACATTTGCTTTGGCGAGAGACATTCGCTTTGGTGAGACAATTGTGGACAATCTCTCGGGCGAGCGGTTCGGGCAACAAAAACAACAGCCACGACATCCAACCTTGTAATCTCAATATTATAATATGTGAGGCATCGTGGTGGAATCAGGCTCTCGCCAATTTTTGGGCATGTACAGTTATTGGTATCATCTTAAAGCTTGTTCACTTGTCTTTATTTGGAGGAAAAAAAATATCCATTTATCTTTAGTACAAGTTGAGATATTTGCGAATGAAGGACATGTGGTCACCTGTTTTCAGAGGTAAAATTAGTGAGAAAATGGCTGCCAAAGTTGAGTTATTTCCTTAGCTTAAGAGTCCGTGGCAAGTGAAAGTTTACATTTATTGTACCTTTATTCGGTGTTTTTCAGAAAAATCCACTTACAAATTAGTTCTTTAAAGGGCATGAAAGGTGTTGAGCCCAAAAAAAAAATAATTTGATGAAAATTCACAAACCTGCAGAAAAATGCAAGTTTCTTCATTTTGATTATTTTGACGAGAGCCTGAATCCACCACGCTGCCTCACATATTATTTGTGAAACTTTGTCACTTTGGCCGCCTAAAACTTCCGAACCACTTGACTTTCGAATTTGAAAAAAAAACAACTAACGGTGGATCAGAATCATTTAAAGGGTGCACAGTTTTATTGAGGAGTCTGAAGTCACTGTAGTTCAATATTCAGTTTTTCATTAGTTTAGTTTATATCTAATCTTGGGAAAGTCCGTCTTCTTAGACGCCATCGTGAACAAGGGAGGTATACGTTCACAAACTTTGCGCACTGTTTCCACAATGACGATTCTTTTAAGTCCGTTTATCGAACGGTTGCTAGTATATTATATCTTGTAATTATATAGATGGGGTAGAGTCCCAAGAAGTCAACATTTAACCCGACAAGGTCCTAGTGTAAACGACTATCTACTCTTATGTTTTAGTTTTAGTAAGGTTTTACCACGCTCGCAACGGCATGAGGTTATAAAAAAAATATGAGCGCCAAGGGGTGAATGTCAACAGAGAAGTCCAAATGGGGAATCAGGCTTACTCTGCTCACCTCTCTAGCCTCAACAGCACAAAGTCTGCTTCGACTGTCAAGGCACCCCGGAAATATCACTTCACAAGAGAGTAACAAACACACAAAAGAAGTAGAGAAAAAATGACGATAGTAAGGATGAGGAAAGAAAAAGCAGAAGTTCCCCTTACATTGTTCCGGCACAGTAAGAGCATGACATTGATAAGTAAGTCCATGTACAATTTTAAAAATTCTACTGCGCATAAAAACATGTTAATAATAATATTCCCCCTTTGGGAATGGCCTAAAGACACTTCCGTCAGTAGCTCTGCCTTAGGGTGTTATTGTAGTGGGTGGGGGTGGGGTGGGGGGAGGAGAGTCACTCTTATTAACCAGAATGGCAGCAACACATAAATACTGATTTTTTTCCCCTCTTAAAAGTTATAATCGACGTACGGCAGCGCGATTTGTAACTTTCATTTTCTGGGAGGCGTTTTGTAATCTCACAGGCTGAAAAGCTTTGGATATATTTCTAAGAACTGGGTTTTGCGTCTTATTTGTCATTTTGTTTGATGGCATATACAACTTGTTCATACTTTCACCCTTCCACTAAGTTCCTGCGGCAAAGTATGTGTGTCTAGCTAATTCTGCTCTTTTATTATTACTGTTGTCATTGCTATTATTATGGTATAATTGGCATTATCATTTGTATTTTTATTACTATTATTGTTAAATATTGTTGTTCTTACTATTGAATAATCATTAAGATTAGATTATTATTATTACTATTCCTATTATTATAATAATAATAATAATTATTATTCTTATCATTTTTATCATTATTATTATCATTATTGTTGTTATTATTATTTTTCTTAT